GCCCCCTGGTGGTCACTAGAGAGAATGCAGCTTTAAGACACTTCAGCCTGAGTACATCAGATAAATAACACTGTTGTAAAGTGACCTCCAATAAAAGCATCCACCACCTCTTCTCCACTAACATGCAGTGGGGTACTCACGTTAGTCTTGCTGGACACGGCGAATGTGGCTCGGCTGGAGAAGCGAGCAGTGGAGGGGCTGCTGCTTGACACTGGGCCCGTCACCATGGAGGAAACTCTGGAGCCCAGGGGAGGACTGTTGGAGCTCGGGGAGGAGGAGAACGAGACGGGTGGGGACGCAGGACCGGACTGACCGCCGAGGCCACCGTAGGTCTGGGCTTGACCCCCCAGGCTGCAGGACTGGATGTGGAGGAGAGCCTGGCTCTGAGTGTGAGCCTGACCCTTCCCATATATCACCTCTCTTATCTCCTGATGGTTCTCCTGTATGTCACTGAGGTGATTCTTGTGATTCTGACTGTGGTTGTTGTTGTTCAGGAGCAAGGCGCTCCGGTCGCACGCCATCCCACTCAGGAGCTCCACCTGCAGGGTGAGAGCCTCCAGCTGACCCCGGAGCTGCCGGTTCTCCTGCTGCAGTTGAGCCACGGCTCGTCCGAGGGGCTGGCTCAGGTTGGCCGTCTCCTCCAGACGGCGCTCCATGCCCAGCTTGAAGGTGCTGACGTCCATGTGGATCTTCCTGATGGCATCCCGGAGGGTGTTCTCGTAACGGGCCAAAGCTGCACACACTGTCTCCCCCTCCGGAGAGCAAGAGCGCGGGTAACACAGGTCTCCCATCTCAGCCAGGTTCGGGGCTTCCATCGGTAGTTCAGCCACTGGTGGCCCTCTGGAAAACCAGACGGCCTCTAACGTCTGAGAGGGAGATCCTCTGAGGGTTTGGGGGGTGAGCGTCTGCAGAGAGACAGGGCAAAGGTTTGGTCTGTTTTATCCCAAGTCCTTCAGCTCTGTCTTGGTTGCGTCCTCTTCAATCAGCTGTGCTTTTCAGGTATAGATGTCTCACTCTTTCTGAAAAACACAAAAATGAAAAGACTTCCACCTTTAGGGTTGTGAACAGCTGACAAACTCTGAAAAGACCGAGACCCAAAACCGAGGCAAACATTATAATCCTATGCAAAACAAAAATGCAGCTACATTACACAATTTGCAATGAAATCAAGGCAAAAAATATCACAAACTTAAGTCAAACACAACTGCAACTCTATTGAATTTACAATTTAACAATAGTTTAAGGAGTCAGAATGAGAAAGCGTGCATCTTTTTGAGCCAGTTATGTTTTATAATTGCCATAAAAATACAACGGTGAGGTAATCTTCACAAACCTACCTCAGCCTCGCTCGCCGGTGAAAAGCTCAGCAGAGTTTCCCTCAAGCGCCGAACAGCTGTATGAATGTGTGTGTGTTGAGTGTGTGTGTTGAGAGAGTGTGTGAGCTCTGCTCTGTCGGGCTCTCTGGTTTGTTTAAACTCTCAGGTCGGTCACTCCTCTCTCTCTTTCTCTCTCTTCTGGCCCGGAGGAGGGAGGAGGAAAAAGGGAGTGATAAAAAGGGAGGAGGGGAGTGGTGGTGGAGTGAGGAAACGACATGAGAAGAGGAGTAAATGTGAGGGGAGGAGGAAGGAGGCGGAGCGGATGGGGGGGAGGCTTTTAGATCTATGCTTTATGTAAACTGTTGGAAGGAGAACTCCTTGTCTCTCATACGTTCTCACTGCAGCTCCTCTCTTCTATCATAGATTCATGTGTTTTCTCTGAGTCATTATTTTCCTTTTATTCGGAAAGAAATACATAACTAAACACGGGATCATAATCTGATTACCAATCCAAACCTCTCTCTCTCTCTCTCTCTCTCTCTCATAGACATTTCTATTACAGAAAATTATGATTATAATACTACTAATTGTAACGTAAATTTAAAGTTACTGTGAGGAACTTTTAACTGGAAGTGAACCATTCTCTGCGTTAGTGTAGTCCTGATCCTCTATCAGATCTCCATCAGTAAAGAGACCATCAGAGAGAAGATGGTCCGTTTCTATAGAGTTATTCTTAATGCTCGTCATCGGAACCAGATGAAATCATGCAGGTTCACCAGAAACTCCTTCAGTTCAGACTCCAGCAGAGACCGGTCCACCGTGGACAGACCCAGATCCGGCTTCACCTGCAGCCTTGGACCTGCAGTCGGAGCTCCGGAGGGAGGAGGAGAGCTCAGCTCCTGGCAGAAGCAGCGTCTCCTCCTCCTCCTCCTCCTCCTCCTCCAGGAGCAGAGCTTCACCTCTTGGGGCCCCAACACCGACACCATGCTGCTGGAGACCCAGGACGTATTGCTGGACCCGCTGGAGGGAAGGGAGGCACGGGAGAACCAGAACCAGGACTGAGAGGAGCAGACTGTCAGACCCTGCTGCAGTAAAATGAGAGGTTTTCTAAAGAGACTCTGGTGCTCGGAAACAAAACCGACCACCAAAATCAACACTAAATGAATGTGTAACATCCCGTTAGCTTCCTCGTGTCTCTGTGTGTGTTCCTGTGTCTCTGTGTCTGTCTGTGTGTGTGTGTGTGTGTTTCCCCTGATTGCACTCATCCTACTCACCTGCCCAGTCCACCCAGCTGCCTTCAATCTCCTCATCACCCCACACATATATACTCCCCTGCTTTCCCTGCTCTGGTTGTCAGATCGTCCTTGTTCGTTCCCCTGTCTGTTCCAGGCATGTGTCTCCCTCGTGTTTGCGTGATGTCCAGCGTTAGCGCCTGGTTTGTTCCTTTGCGTTTTCTTTGTGATTTTGGATATTTTTGCCCGCTCCCTGTTGGAGTCATTTTCAGTTTTTGTGTATGACTTTTTAAGTAAAGAACCATATTTTTCAAATCCACCTCGTCTCCAGTGTCTGTCTGCGCTTGAGTGTCAGATCTGCCCCTAGGACGTGACGGAATGTTCCTTGTAGTAACTTTAAGTTTAAAGTTGGGGTCGTTGTGGCTCAGAGGGTACATGACTTTTTTTGGTACTTGTATACCACAGGTGTACACTATAACTATAGCGGCCGTTCAAGTTTACCTTCCACTGTTTCCTTCATGTTTTCACTCTTTATGTTTTTCTATTATCTTCTCTATTCTACTGTAGTGTACTTGATGGCAGGACGAGACAAACGCACACAGACAGACAGACAAGCTGGCTGCTGAAGGAGGACCTCCACCTCGTAACTGGACCCCAACCGAGCAAACATTCAACACCAGATAGCGTGTGTGTGTGCAACAGACAGACTCATGCAAATACTTAGACATTCCACCCTCCTGCTTACTGTCAACTGTGTGTGTGTTACAGGGAGCGTTTGGGAGATGAGGGGGGGGGTCTTGGTGAGGTGATTTACCAGAAAATTGCCCCCCACACCTTTCCGTCTCTCTTTCTCTCACACACTTATTCAACACTCCCTTCGGGGGTTTTATGGGAGTCTACTGGGGGCAGTACAAGACACAGATGGCAACAAACCACTGTAGAGGTAAGAGGTCACGGGTATCAGCTTCATCAGCCATCTGAGGCTTTTACAAACAGGCACTGCTGTTGTGTCATATTATGACAACATTAAATGTATCTCTTCCTCTTTTAACGCTGTTTTTACATTACGAAGACAACAGCGGGTGGGAGTGAGTGGAGGTGTATGGGTCAAACTGAAACCTGTTCTTCATCGAGGAGACCGCTGTTCGTTCCACTTGTGAAAAATAGAATTTAAAATGATTAATTTGTCACGTAACTTGCGTACTTAAGTAACCGCACTGCCGTAGTTATCTTAATCTTTTCCCAGTAGTTTTGTTACCTAAACCGGACTAGGTCTTCCATGATCCTTTCCTAAACCCAACCAAGTAGTTGTTTCCTGTGAAGACAGTTTATTTTGAAAAGACTGAATTCATGTAACGAGCAGAAATCGACACGTGTTGTTCATAGGAAAATGCGCGAAAAATGAGAAGTAACTTTTTGGTAAGATGATATACAAACCGTTATAGGAGGATACGTTGATATGGTACGATAGTAATTTTTCAGTTCAGGTAGCTTTGGTTGACGGGTAAAATGTATTACCTGTAATTACATAACACTTTAATATATTAGTCATTTACTGGCAGAAACAGAAAGACATGTGAATGAGAACACCTGCACTGGGCCATTCTCCAACATAGACATAACAGTGAGTCATGTTTTGATTACGCACCTGAGTCACTTTTCTGTCACAAGAGCGGTCTGCCATAGCCTTTTAAAACACTGTAACATGGCTGAAGACATAATTAATAAAGTAACAAATCACTAAAAAATAACTTACTGTGATTGACAGGTCTCTACCAGAGACGTATACAGCATCTCTACGAACTCTAAGTCACTCCTCCTACGCCTTTCAAATATGGTCACTTCCATTTATCAGTTGCAAAAAAACCAACATGGTGCCGGCCGTAATCCAAGATGGCGCTGGCGAAATTGCCGAACTCGAGGCTTCACAACGGCAGTCCACAAACCAATGGGTGACGTCACGATGACTAGGTCCACCTTTTTATATACAGTAGTCTCTGGTTATAATATTATATCAATGGTAAATAATACGAGATTAGGAACATTTCGATTGCCTCTAAAAGGCTCTCAACAAGGCGAAGCCTGAGTCGGCGGCTCGTAGCTAATAACGCTACAAACGTCAAACGTGCTGACCGAGCTAACAGTGCTTACCTGAGGGGGAACCGGTGGTATTAATGTATTAATGCTCTGAAGTTTGTATATTATTCCTTTAAGCTTGAATACAGTAAAATGAAATGCCCCACCGCTGCTTTCCAGTAACAATGAGTCAGCAGTTAACGCGGTATGACCCGCATGAGTCAGTGGTATGAAATTAAAAAACTTCAGTTGTCAACACAATAGATCTCTTGCTCTGTCCCTGAACTGCCTCCCACAATCCTGGTTTTCATTGTTTTGATAATGACTGAATATGTTTTTCTTCTGTGACGCTCGCTCCCTCTGTGCAGAGCTGTGGTTGTGAACTATTTTATCCTCATCTGGTCTTCGACCAGTAAAACTATTTGTTGACATTGGAGAGACATTTGCAAACACACGTCTTGAACTGTGTGAGGTGGTTAAGTGTGGATTAGGTCACGTAGGAGGCTGGAGGACATTTGGGGTTTGCGATATATAGCCCACTTATGGACGAAAATATATCACAGCTGTCGGTAGTCAAACATCTGCAAAAAGTGAAGAAAGCCACTGTTTCCTCATTTATGCCATTCTATAACCTAACAGATCGGGGGAAACAGGCTGAAAGACCACAGAAGTAGACTGGAAGCAATTTCCATTTATTGACTTCATTCAATATTGGCTGGACAACGTTTTCTTACAGTTAATTTACAAACATTGCTGGTTTTATAATTCATATGCAATGTAAAGCTAGCAAGCTTCATGGCAGAAAAGGTTAAGCTAATGTCAGCAGAGTTAGTAGAAGGACTTATGTTACATGTGGAAGGCTGGTAAATGAGTTTAAGAAAAGTGTTGTATTCATAGAGGAATGATTAGCGTCAGTGAACTCGTTCACTAACTAACACTCCCTTATGTAATCGCGTGTGCACTAATAATGATGGTATTGTAAAAGCTTGGCTTCCTTTATATATTCATTGACTCCAACACACTTTGGTTGAACTTCAGATGGAGCTCTGTGATACTCGCACATATTTCATTGGCTCGTCTCCGACTCCGGTCGAACATTACAACAGTTAAAACAAAACTGAAAGACCGCAGATTTAATCAGTTCAAGACGGAATCTCTGATGCCTTCAGGTGCACGAGGTGTTGCACAACAAGTCAAAACAAGAGCAGACAAACACAAATGGATGACGCATTCTGATGTGACAAAGGTTTCTCACACTGTCTTCTCTGTGGCTTTTACAGGAAACATGACTGCACGATACAGTTCATAAGATGTCGACATGTGAAAACAAAACAAATCCAATGCACCTTTTGGTATTCACAGGAAAATGGGATTATAGAATATACATATTTGTATGATTCAACATCATCACAAACTATCTTCTGATCAAGTTAAAGAAAGAAAAGTCACAACTATTGCCTTTGTTTGAGATATTCCCTCCCTTGTGCCAACAGTGTGCATTTTGAGTTGTCATTGAACTGACTTACAACAGGTCTATTTTTAAAGATTTTTGAATTTACATGCTGCCAGGAAGCATGGAAATGGCAGATGTAAATCTTATTCAAATTTAAAAAATGTTTTTAGCAAGACAGAAGAACGATTCTCTGTCTCTTTCTGGATTCAGTCTTTTCTTCTTCTCAGTGTCGGCAAATGGTTTTATTTGAACACATTTCTCTGGCATCTTAACATCTTAACAGCTTAACATCTGGCGACATGAAAGGAGAATTCAATCCCGCATTTAAGTAAAATGATGTTTGATAGAGGGGCATCAGGGAATTTGCTGTT